AAAAAAAAACAAAAAAACAAAAAACAAAAAACAGACAAGCAGGGCTATTATTTATTAAGAAGTAATAGATTATATAACCGTGATTATAACTTGAAAGGGAATCTCATTTGCTTTCCATCCTAGCTTTGTTTACGGTCCAAATTTTGCCAAAAATTTTTGGGAAGAGCACTCTATGGCGGGAGGTAAGAGTAACACAAAAACCAGGTTTAATTCTAAATTAAAATGGAAAAAAAGTGATCAGACGCGTTTCGTTAAATAGATTCCGAAACCGATCGTGAACTTCCTTTTTACCAAATGAGACATAACAAGCTCCTTATTTATATTAGGGCTCTTCTGTAAATCACCTTCGTAGATGACGTAGATATCCTGATTAAAGCTTATTTATTATTACTGTTACCATAGTGATCTTGACTATTTGATCAGACTTGACGACTAATAAACTGTTTATGGAATAATTTGTTTATTGACTTGATCACTTAATCGCGAGCATATGATTATGGCATGCATTGGACTAAGAATAGCGCATGGTAGCTTTATTCTTTTGTCTGGGAATTCCGGACGTTTTTCGATATCAGTTCTTTAGTATTAAATGAAATAATGTTGTTTCAGTTTTTTGTTAAAATTAAAGATGTTTAACAGCAATCTATCCGGAAACGCTTGTGGCAAAACGTTTTAACGAGATTTTTTATTAAACTTCTGTCTGATTCTTGAGTGAAGTTTAAAGATATGAAGCAGATGAACTTGCACGACATATAGAGACGTTCATCCGACAAACAACCTAATTCGTCAAACACAAGACATAAAGGCTGAGCAAGTACCTATTGGTTGGCTTGTCAATCAAGCAACGCAGCCGGCACTTGAGGCGAAGCACGATTAGACGTTCAGACAGTCTGGAYGAGAAACAGGTGTTTACTTGAGCATCGACGACAAAACACGCGGCGACGACGACCGTAAGTTGGATCTTTACATGTTTACTGTACTGCGCATGTCTGTACATGTGAAACAGTCAATCGGAGCCGTTTACTTTAAAAAGCAAGTTATTTTCTCCGTTTATGTCTACGAAGTTATCCTTTTTAAAACCTCTTGTGTGTAATTCTGAAAATATATATTATATAGACTGAATTCGGGTTCCCTGCAAGCGGTCTCTCTCGTTGATGATTCTTGCAGAGAAAACGGCCTGGACCGGCTTGGACCCATTTTCTCTGCCAAGATTCGACGAGGGAAACTCTGCTCTAGCTGGGAAGAATTTGCGTGCATTTCAGTATTGTGTGTTTATTTTTTTGAACCCTGATAAGTTGCTTGCGAATGTCTTAAAACGGTCTCATATTTGAGTCGTCGTTGTGGAAAGTAAAGCTGCTTAACCTTCAAGTTATCCCACCGAAAACGAACTCCTCGCCCCAGGGTTTTTGAACCATGACGTCATTATCCGTCGTCGACGTGTTTCCTTACGTGGTCAAACTAGAGATTTATTCACGTGTGCAATGCCGTGTCGTTTCCTACCGCATCGATAATCTTTTTGACAACATTCACTCGAGAACCATGTCACTAGCGTGTAACATTATTTATATCGGGCGTTTTGAATTAGTTTTCAATATGAGTAGCTACGTTGTTGCTAATTGCGCCTTCTACGTGATAAAAGATGAGTACGCCTCAAGAATAATGGCAGTTCAAGACATCGTGATCGTTGATTTATTGTAGAAAATTTAGTGACATCAAACAAGAAATGACAAAGCAATGTCGATAGGAGAAGACGAATTTGTAATATGTTGGCAACACTTTTACAAGGCTTGCAATTTCGTTTGGATTGGAAGTCATGAGGATTCACTATGGCAATACGGAAAGACAAGATAGAATAGAAAGTATTTAATATGGATAGGGCAAAATTAGTCTAAACTATAATCACGCAGTTAGTCAAGGCGGTTACTACTACACTATTTCTACTAACAACAATTCCACTACCACCACTACCACCACTACCACCACAATCACCACCACCACTACTAACTCTTTTACCATATTTCACGACTCTTAACAAACTCGAACAATTTATGCAAGTTTACGCTATTGTTTAAGAAAGCTAAATGTCCTGTAAGCATTTTAAAATCATTTATTTATTATATTTTCACAGGAATACTTATTTTTTCATTCCGTTATAATCACTCTATATTAGTATATCATAAGTTTGGTGCGACCTTCATGATTGAATAAATAGCTGCAACCCAGTAGAAGAGAAAGAAATTACAGTCTACAACGCCTAGACACTGAGCTCGTAAATTATTTCTCATAAGTAGTTTCATTACACGAACCGATAAAAACAAAAACCATATATGTCTATTCTGCAGGAGGTTGTGTGATCGCACTGGCTAATTTCAGCCAACCAGGTTGGGATTCTAATACCTTATCTAATAACTTATACAGAGCTTTACAAAGTCTTACTGTGAAGGATCCCACTAGGGCTACGACTAATATTGTCCTTCGCAAACATTAAAACTACAAACCAAAAACCTCATGTAAATAAGGGCCGGAGTTTTTGGGCGAGTGAGTGTATTCCTAACCAAGACAGCAGTATTAATTTCAATAAACAAGTGCAAAAATGCTTTATGCAGTTGTACTGGAGTAGAGCTTGTATTTTGCAAAATTAAGAGCATATTATAGATTATTCTTGATTATCTATCTTGATATTGCCGCGAGATGCTTCGAGAAACGAAAAATAATCTTCGTAATAAGAGTACGAGAAATGAAAAGATAATGTCGTTAGTTGACAATGATTTTTTTCTTTTTTTCTTTGTTTCTTTGAATAAAAACATTTAAAAATATTAAATGTTGTAGTTGGATACAATCAAGAGACAAAAACCACGAATAAGCAAAGCACTTTTCAAAACGAATTGTATTAAGAGGAATAAAATATGTATTACATTTTACCATATACGGTGATATCGTAATTTGACTCGAAGGAACCACCTTTTATTGGAATCAAAAACGGCCTATTCTCTAGATTGAGTATTGTAGATTGTAATTCTTTCATTCAGCAATTTCTCTTTTAACAATACCATTTTTTTATCTTGCATTATCAACGTAGTGGGACTATGTTACTTTATTTCTTATTTCATTCTATTTTCATAGCTTTTTATTTATATCAGTTTTTACTATTATTTGTGCTCGTACATTTGTATATTGGACTAGTTCCAAAAAATTGCTGTTAAAGTTCAACTAATTTATTGTAAAGCGCAGGAAATAACAAAAAAAAAAAAAAAAAAAAAAAAAAAAAAAAAAAAAAAAAAAAAAAAAAAGAATCAGTAGTGAATCTTGCTTCCATTCTCAATGCGCAAAGCCACAACGAACTGAACGGCTCACTCAACTGGAATGGTCTGGAATTTACCAATCGAACACCAACTAATAATCCTAATCTAAACACCCCAATAGATGATGGATTTGGTGAAAAACTAATAAAGTTCCCCACAGCTAGCTTTTTTAGTGGAGCGATGAGGTATAAATATAATACATACTGTAAAATAAATTAGTCAGAGAGACTTAGGTCAGCTAAGCCC